CGTCCAGGGATTAGAAGGAGTCTCACGCATTAGCAGTGGCTCACTAGGTTGAGAATAAGCATGTCGCTGACAGATGCTACATCTACCGACCATAGACTCTATGTCCGCATTTAGGCCGGGCCAAAAAACAAGGCGACGAGCTTTGGCTTTGCATTTAGAAATTCCTTGGTGACCATCATGAATGCGCTTTAACATTTCAGATCGCATCGACCGAGGAACGACTACTCGTTCTCCTTTAAACACAATGCCTTTAAGAACAGACAGCTCTGGTGTCATGTGTCGAAAAACGCCATCGATCGTTTTGTTGTTAGTGATTGCTCTAACCACCTTCTGCAGTACAGGATCTTGTGCAGTTGCTTCCTGCAGCCTCTTGACGGTCGTCAGCGACACTCTGTCGAAGAGTATATTGGTGGCATGTATCTCCACATCGTCTGAAACATCCTCGTTGCTTGTTGTTTTTGGGGCTCTGGACAGCGTATCGGCCAATATCAGATCCTTTCCTGGAACAAACTGGAGATTGAAGTCGTATCTTAGCAGGCGAAGAAAAAAACGTTGAAGTCTGGGTGGCATCTCCCCCAACGCCTTGCTGGCGATCTGAATGAGCGGCTTATGATCAGTTTCAGCTGTAAACTTGATGCCATAAACAAACGGGTGAAATTTCTCGCAACCAAAGGTTAGGGCAAGGGTCTCTTTTTCAATCTGTGAATATCGGGACTCGGCATCTGTCAGAACTCGGGAAGCGTAGGCAATTGGTCGCCACTCTTTACCATGACACTGAAGCAGCACCGAACCTATTCCAAATCTGGATGCATCCGAAGACACCTTGGTGGGCTTCATTGGGTCGAAAATTGCCAATTGGGGATGTTGTGATAGGGATTCTTTTAGTTCTTCAAATTGTTTTTGGTGACTTGGAAGCCATTCAAATATAACGTCCTGTCTTGTCAGCTCTCTGAGTACTTTTGTATTTTCTGCTACGTGTGGTAAGTATTTGCTGAAGTAATTAATCATTCCTAAGAGACGCTGGACCGCTTTCTTGTCTTCAGGCGCCGGCATGTCCAACAAACTGCTGATTAACGCAGGGCTGGGCTTGATGCCCTCGGAGCTGATCACGTCGCCCAGATAAGTGACTTCTGTTTGGGAAATTTTGCATTTTTCTGCGTTGAACGTTAGCCCGGCAAGCTGGGCTACTTCCAATGTCGTCCTTAATCGAATGTCGTGCTCCTCTTGGGTGCGGCCCCAAATCAAAAGATCATCAATATACACATGCACTCCTTGAAGTCCCTCGAAAATTTCGCTTAGTGTTTTTTGAAATACTTCGGGTGCCGATGAAATACCAAAAGGAAGGCGCAAGTAGCGGTATCTGCCGAATGGTGTAGCGAAAGTGCAAATTTTTGATGTTTCTTCGTCCAGGGGGATCTGATGAAAACCTGCTTTGGCATCTAATGTTGTAAAGAACTTCGCTCCTGCTAGTTCTGCCTCTATGTCTTCTCTGCGAGGCAGCTGATAGTGCTCGCGTTTAATGCTTTCATTTACCCTTCTGGGGTCCATGCATACACGTAGACTTCCATCTTTTTTCTTAACAATTACGAGAGGACTCACCCAGTCAGTTGGTTCGTCGACTCGCTGGATGATTCCTGCTTTTTCCATCCGTCGGAGTTCAGTGCGGAGGGGCTCCCGTAGCGCCAGGGGCACTCGTCGAGCAGGCTGCACGGATGGCTGGGCATCTTCCCGAAGAACCATATGGTAATGGCGCTTCACACATCCGGTTCCCACAAAAACTCTGGAAAACTCGTCTGCAATAGATGGTTTTGCGTGGACCGTACATACGCGCGACACTAGTCCAAACACCTCACTTGCCTCTAGTCCTAGAAGTGGCTGGCGACCATTCTTCACAACGAAGAAATCGACGTACGCTTCTTTTTCGTTGATCTTGAGCCGAAGTCTCGTCATGCCGAAGTGTTTTATCAGTCCGCCATCGTAACTACGAAGTGCAGCTCGATTGGGCTTTAACTCTGGTGCTTTGTGCTGCTTAGCGTACAGTGAATAAGGCAGCAAGTTTGCCTGAGACCCCGTATCCACTTTGAGCATGATTTGCCCTCCTCCCGCGATTGAAGCGCGTACGATCCAGTCTGCCTGACTTTGTGAACTCTTGACGCCAACATTCAGAATATCAAAGTCATCATTCTCAGACAGCTGTCTGCTGTATTCACCGTTGCTGTTCTTGCTTATACAGCAGTTCTGCGTCTCAGCCACTTGCCGACCCGCCAGACAGCACGCAGCAAAATGATTGCTTTTTCCGCAGTTGTGGCAGGTTTTCCCTGAGGCGGGACACCGTTGAAAGTCGTGAACGAAATTGCAACGACCACAGCGGTTCCTCGACTTGTTCCGCATCTGTCCTGCATTTGTTCTTCTGACTGCATCGGCCTGCTTCTCATCTGTTTCCCAGGCTTGATTCTGTTTTTCTGAAACTTCTGCAGCTTGGCATATTCGTATCGCTTTATCAAGCGTGAGGTCAGCTTCCCGTAGGAGCTTTGTTCGCAATTTTTTTTCAGAAATTCCAAAAACGATTTGGTCCCGCAGCATCGAATCTGTAATGCTTCCGAAATTGCACGACTGGACTTTGGTTTTTAAGCCTCGAAGGAACTGTTCAAAAGGCTCACCTTCTTGTTGCTGCGTGACTCTGAAGACATACCGCTCGTAGGTCTCATTCTTCCGTGGAATGCAGTAGGCTTCAAACTTTTGCACCAGGGTCGTGTACGATTCTTTGTCCTCTCCGTCGAGAAATACGAAGTTGTTGTAGACCTCGATCGCTTCTTCTCCGGCGACATGGAGTAGCAAGGCCGCCTTTTCGTCTTCCTTCTTCTTCGCAAAACCCGTGGCTTTCAGGTACCACTCCAGCCTTTGCTTGAACTTGATCCAGTTCTGCTCGAGGTTGCCCGAGAGTCGCAGTGGCTCGGGAGGTTTCAGCGTATCCATTTCGGTCGTCGGAAGCGCTAAGCCTAATTGTTCCAAGATCCTGCCGGCTGCGCCATGGCTCGAGCGCAAGCAGTGATCACACCAGTCGCGAGATACATTCTGTTTAATCTGCCATCGTGCAGGCCCTTTTATAGCCGAACCCAGGTGGCAGGTCCAGCCAGCAGTGACGTCATGTGATGTCATAACCGATACAATAGAGACACAGCTGCACTCATCCATCGGCATAGTTGAAGTGAAGCGACTCGGCACAACATCGCCCGTGGTACGCGTAACATTTGCAGGAGAGCTGGCGCCCCAACACGTGAAAGTGGGCCTCGTGAGAACAGAAGTGATTCCCTACAGTGCTACACGTGAATGCTCGCGTTTTTTCGCGTTTTTCATTGGGAGGATTCAGGGGTAACCGTAACAAAGATACGGTATATATGTGAGGATTCTGCATGGACATAATGTTTCTTGAATCGTGGCCACTGATCTCTACTATAGGGGGCTGGATGGCGCTTAGCTGCTCTCGGAGCCCGGCGCAAGTGAAGCCACCGGAAGTTCGGTGCTTGTCCCGGAAGTCGGGCGTGCGCTGGGCTTCCTAGTGCATTCAGTCGACATTTTGGACCATGCTTTTTTGTGTCTTTGATTGGGTTTTAATACTCCCGTTCTGGATTAAATCCCGAGAATAAGGCATTTGAACTTGGGACATATTCACAATTTGATCAACTAGAATCTCAAAATGTTTACATTGCATGGCTTCCCATGATACTTCTCGGGTCCGCATGTGCTCTTACTGCGCAACAAGCAAGCTCTCTTCAGGGAACAAGCGAAAATCCAGCGCCCTCGACGCTTTTCGAACCAGCACTCGGAAGGGTTACAAAGCCTGCCAAAGGCTCACTTCCGGGACAAGCATCTCACTTCCGGTGGCTTCATGCCTGTTTGCTCAATGCGCCATCCAGCCCCCTCTAGTGGAGATCAGTGATCGTGGCCCTTGTGCCTACCTGTGACGTCAAAATAGTAAAATGATTTCGTTATTAAATAAAAAACGAATGCAAGAGTAACGCGCGTAGGCTTTTTATCGCTAATGGTAACGCGTTCTGTTCATTTTGAGGTAACGTGGGTCTGTAACGCGTTAATTTGATTTGAAAAAAAAAAAAAACAAGTAACGTATTTCGTTCCTTTTTCTTCTTTTTTTTCCGATACCGTTTACTGTTGAAAAGCACTGCTGCCGTTTTGAAGTCTAGTTCACACGTTCATGAGAGTTCCGACAGAGGACGCAAGTAAACGCCCTTCCCTCGCCTTCTGTTTTTTTCGTGGCGGCTTCTCCGCCCCAGAGCCGTATATGTAGAGGGTTTGGTCAATGGGAGGCGCGGGCAGAGCCAGGGCGTGCGGCAGACTCGGGAAGAGGGCTTGGCATGCTCTCTTGACCAACCAGAAGCCGAAAAGAATCCCCTAGCGGGGGTAGCGAGAAACAGTTCTGAGCCGATCGATCATCGAAGGTCTCTGTTCGTATATGGTTTTAATAAGTGCGTAAGAGTGAAGTGTAGTAACTCTTTGTGGCTGAAATTAGGGTGCACGTGTTGTTTCATCATGATCATGCAGAAAAATGTAAGAAACGAATGCGCCGCTCAACTCTGTTTTGCGCGGACAGTGTGTGACCGCTCTGACGGCAGATTCCCGGTGCTCGGCGTTTGGCGTAAGGATTATGTCGATCTTTCCGCTAGTCGCACTCTTCCACCATCATTTTAGATGAGTGTGATTGAAACATCACGTGTACCATATTTTCAGCCATCGAGAGTTACTTTAATGCAGTTATCAGGTTTGTTTCTCGCGGACACCGCCAGGGTATTATTCCCGGCTTCTGGTTTGTCACATTCGAATTTCTGAAGACGCCCTGGAACACGCCCAGCCCGCTTTCGGCCAATGGCGCCGCTTCATTTGTCTCCTATACTTCCCAACGAATGGCCAAACTCTCTACATATACGGCTCTGCTCCGCCCCGCAAAGGTCTTCCCATGGTACCCTGTCTGGCGGCCACGACGTGGTGACCAGGTTTCAGTCCAACCTGGACAACGAGGGGGTGTTCTTCACCGACTCCAACGGAAAGCTGACCGTCCGCCGTGTGTGAGTCCATCCGATATTTTTTTTACGGGGATAGACGTTATTAGAGAGTTTTCGTAGACCGCGTTTCCCCTTCCGCTAAGCCCCCCGCATCGAAGAGTCACTACTGCGCCTTCGCGCCGACGGCTTTGACAGCAGATTTTCGAGTATCGTAGCGGGTTGCCGAGTGCGTTGCGTGACAGCGGACGCGATTTACGAAACTGCCTATTAGGGAGCTTTAGTAGATCGTTCCGATGATTCAGATGACAATACCCGATACTACACCGACGCCTTTGCGCATGCGTTACATGGTATGGGGTATGGTTAACCGTGTGTGCACGTACGTCGTCGCCTGCTAAATCTAGTGAAAAAAATTATCGGCTAAATTTGGCTGAAAAAAGTTTTTCGATTAACTTAGCGGGAAACCACAGCATCGTTATGTCGCGACGTTACGGTTTTTTCCTCTGATGTGTCAAGTGACGTCGTAAAATAACGCAAACAATTTTTCACGCTAAATTTAGCGGCAAAATTTTTCCCCTAGTTACGGGAATTTACGCTCACGTGACGTCATGGTGCCATGTGCGGCCACAGTGTCACTTCATGTCACAGCGTCACGTGATGTCGAAGTGTCACGTGACCGTTTACAAACGAACCCGTATTCAGAGGTGCGGCGCGTGCGCAGAAACCAAATTCGAAAGAGGGTACGCGTCGGCGCATGCGCAGTACCGACGGCAGCGCCGCCGCAGTGGACACCGGAGCGCTACCTCAGCGCTGAAAATGGCGGTGACCATGTTGGTGCAGCTCTGACTTTGCACCAGGCCCGTGGCCAGGATTTCTTTTCGTGGAGGGGGGGGACACTAGCTGAAGGCTCCCTCCCCCCGGTCAAAAACAAATAAATTCATAGGAGATAACACCGGGGAGCGTGAAAAAGAAAAGAGAGCGTGCTTCGCTTGACATCCGCCACACCACGCAATGTAGAACGCGCAATGCAAACGCACCGTGCTTGTGTTCGCTTGCACGCGCAACCAGTATAACTCACTATCAAGATACTCAGGAACCTGCCGTGACTTACGTTTCTGAAGCTCTTAGAGTCACAGATATCTTAAGAAACGCAGAGCGTGGTGAGTACTGAGCACCTCGTTATTACTTCGCAACCTTCGCGGAGATCGCGAAATCTCCGCGGAGATCGCGGCATTAGATGATAAGAACGCCGACGCGTCTTTGGCACGTCCGAACAAGTCAAAGGGCGGCATTGAGAACGCGCAGGGAACAGGCGATGACGAGGCAGCCGAGCGATCGCCAAGAGCCCGTAAGCACATTTGGCGGGTCGCACGAGGTGCTCAAGGAGCAGACGACACGCCGTGTGGGGTGACTAAACTAAAGCATAGAACTCTACAAGACTCTGCGATTGCGGAATGTGGCTATCTGTGCGTTTCGTCGCGAGGGGTACACCCTACAAAGAATGTTAATGCGAGAGGAGGTCCACTTCAGGGTGAAAACCAAACGGCGTTCGTCCGTGTCACCCCGCAGCGCCAACTCCACCGGTGTTTGGAAACCAGTAGGCCCGTCGCCGACAAAGGGATACCCTGAGAACGTCGAGGCCAACTACTATCCGGTCGTGTCCTGGATCTACCTGAGGGACAACGCGACGGGTCTTCAGATGACGCTGCTTCCAGACAGGCCGCAAGGCGGTACTGGCTACCGCACGGGGCAACTCGAGCTCATGGTGCTTGTTGCTTCCTATATCAATGCACGTGTCGCGCGATAGAGCTTTCGCGGAAACCCCAAGAGGTCACACGCGAAGCGTGAAACGGATTGAGGGAGTGTCCTGTATGCTCCCTATGCTCCCTCTTTGCTCCCGCGGCATCTACCATCTGACACTGAAGAAAGGGATAATAGTGTGAGAGGGTAGCGTTGTTGGTCGCCTGCCTTGCCCTCTCGCTAGCGTTTTGTTCGTCGCCTCCAAGATCACGTTCGTCGCTTGCTATATCCGGTTGTATACAGGATGTTCCCAGCGATCCCTTCGGCAGCGCAGACGTAGCTGCACGCTTTGCAAGAGGCCTATAATCGACACAGTCACAGCGTCCGTAAAAAACACACGCACCACCTGGCTTCTTTTTTTGTTATCAATATAATGCAACGGCGTGTAAAAGCTAAAAGAATATGGCAAACGAGCTCGTACCGATTCGAAGATAAATACACAATAATCAAATAACTAACTAAAACAATGACCAAACACGTCAGCTTCAGACAGCTACGAGTTTGTTTGGAGGCACACGAGTTGGCTACTTGGCTTTCCTTAGCTCATTATTGAATAGTCGATGTTTTGGCTTTGGCTTCATAAGGGCAAACAAAAAGCGAAGCTTGGTTATGTACAACACTAGGGAAGAGATGAACGCAACAAAAATAATGAGCACAAGAATTCCCTTCACGTTCCTTAGGGACACTATATAGTATTGCTACGCTAAATTATCGGCACACCGTTCCCCGAATTTCGTGTGAGCACCACCATCTCTGTGCTCAGTGCAGAACGTGCGCAATTGGGGCGATCGTGACTCTCCCGTCTCCCCCAAACCATTTTTAATCACAGTTGCCAGACTATCTTTTGAAAGGTTGCTGTTTGCAAATGTTTCTACTGGCCATGGTACGGGCGCGCAGGTGCAGCGCAGGCTAACGGCGAGCGACAACAAAGGTCTTGAGGACCCGCTGGACGACCGAGGCCTGAACAAGAAGGGCGTGGTAATCCGCGGCAGGCACCTGCTGCACCTGGCGCCCATCCAGGAGGCTGCAGTACGCGTGCGCGCGATGGCGAACGCGCTCGTGCTCGCGCCCGTGCTCAGCTTCTCGGATGCCACCGTGCCATACAGCAGCGACGTCAAGACCCGACGGGTGAGAACTGCGCCTGTCCGTTCATGCTATTTTCAAAGGGTGCGAAAACTGCATATGTCCCTAGCAGAGGTCGGCATTTTAGATCGCCCTCAATCGCCCTCACCCTCACAGCCAAACTCACCTAAGGCCCTCACTCACAATCACCCTCACAGTTACACTCACCCTCACTGACCCTCATCATCACAGTCACACTCACCTTCAGCCAGTCACTCACCCTCACTGAACCTCACGGCCCTCACATCCCTCACGTACGCACTCATGGCCCTCACGCCCGTCACGTACTCACCGCCCTCACGCCCCTCCCGCGCTCATGGCCCCTCACACACTCATGGCCCTCACGAACCTCACGCACTCATTGCCCTTATACCCCTCACGCACTCATGGCCCTCATGCCCCTCACACACTCACCGCCCTCATGACTCTCACGACCTCATGGCCCTCACGCCCCTCACACACTCACCACCCTCACGCACTCACCGCCCTCACGCCCCTCACGTACTCATGGCCCTCACGCCCCTCACGCACTCACCGCCCTCACGCCCCTCACGCACTCATGGCCCTCATGCCCCTCAGCACTCACCGCTCTCACGCACTCATACCCCTCACGCACTCACTGTCCTCCAAGCCCTCATGGCCCTCCCACCCCTCACGACCTCACGGTCCTCACTCACCCTCAGACTCATGAATGTTTTTGATTCAGAAACTCACTCACCCTCACCTCACCTGTGGAGATGACGGTACGTGAGGGCGAGTGAGGGACCTCATGAGTGATTTTTGCCGAGGTATGCCCCTCACGCACTCATGGCCCTCATACCACTTACGCACTCACCGCCCTCATGGCCCTTACGCACTCACGGCCTTCACGTCCCTCACGCACTCACCGCTTTCACGCCCCTCACGTGCTCATGGCCCTCAAGCCCCTCACGCTCTCACCGCCCTCACGGCCCTCACGCACTCACGGCCCTCACGCACTCACGGCCCTCACGCACTCATACCCCTCACGCACTCACGATCCTCACAGCACTCATGGCCGTCACAGCCCTAACGGCCCTCACACACCTCACGACATCAAGGTCTTCACTCACCTCCACACTCATGCATTTCCTTGGTTCGGAAACTCACTGACCCTCACGACACCTGTGAAAATGAGGGTGCGAGAGGGCGAGTGAGGGCCCTCATGAGTGAGGCGTGCCGAGGTATGGTCCCTAGCTGAGGTTGGCAAAAAAAAGGGAGGCTGTTCTTCAACACGCTGGAAGAATGGTGTCCGCAGACTACGATGGATACCCCGTTTTACCATAAGGGCGAGTGAAGATTCAAAGGAGGCCTCGAACGACGCCTAAGGGACGCTTAAGCTGCAGCCAAAATGCTAATACATCGGACAAAGGACAGTTTGGATGTACTGCGCGAGGCTTGTTTCTACCTTGTATGACGATCCAATCACTTTGTCATTCAAAAACGTTTTAGACATGATCGAAGCGTTCACATCTATGAACCAAACTTACTCCGAAATTGCTTGTAACGTGCCCGCAACTACTTTTGTCATCATGAGTGCAGCGAATACCGTGTTTTTTGTGTAATGTATGAGCAGTTTGATTATGGTTCTAGAGTGCTGCCACAAACACCCTGAGAATAGGGTGCTGGAAATCTTAGCGACATCTTCAAGATTTTTGTTTTGTTTTAGAGCGCAGCTCTTAGGGGCCCGTTCCCGGCTTGAGCGGCGTCGGCGTCGCCGTCGCCGTCGCCGTCGGCGTAACCAAGGTCATCCCAAGGTCACGTGACCCCCAAGGTCACGTGACCCCTCCAGGTCACGTGACCCCTCCCAAGGCCATTTCAAGGTCACGGGACCCCCAAGGTCACGTGACTCCTCGAGGTCACGTGACCTCTCCCAAGGTCATCTCAAGGTCACGTGACCCTTTGAAGGTCACGTGACCCCTCTGGACACGTGACCCCTCCCAAGGTCATCTCAAGGTCACGTGACCCCAAGGTGACCCCCACGTGACCCCCGAGGTCACGTGACCCCTCCAGGTCACGTGACCCCCTGAGGTCACCTTGGGGTCACGTGACCTTGAGGTGACCCCCATGTGACACCCAAGGTCACGTGACCCCCAGGTCACGCCTCCCCGAGGTCACGTGACCCCCCTCCCCGAAGTCACGTGACACCCCCCCCCCCCCGAGGTCATGTGACCCCCCCCCCGGAGCATATTAGGAATGAGGGGAGGAAGAGGAGGAGGAGGAGGGGTCTACCCTCCCCTCAGTACCTTTCACTCCTCCTCCTTAAGAGCTGCGCTCCAATTCGGCGTTACAGGGATTTGTAAACGGCTTTCACTTTTTGTTTCCGAGCCACAAGTTTGCAAGCAATATGCACCAAGTGCAGCTTTCGCATGCGGATAAACCGTACATGCAGACGCAATAAATTGCGCACGATACCTGAATCACGTTTTTTGTTGGATGCTCCACCGCCTTAAATACTTGATAACTGAGATAAATAAAATTTAAAAAAAAATAATAACTCGGTCGCAGGAAAGCGGTCCTGACATTGTGACGGTTAGGTATGTTACTTTGCGTGAATCCTCAGCGTCCACACATAGTGGATCCACACCCACACCACACCGAATTTTCCCCTCGCGCAGGTTTGCTACCGATTTCTTTATAGTCCAAGGTGCGTGACCATGGTTCTAGGCGCGTACCTCCAATGCAGGGATGGACGGTTTTTCAAATACAAGTACTCGAAGTACGTATCTGAAGCACTTTAAGTATTTGTAGTTAATTACCTACTGGCTTATGTATTTGTCGATTACATATAAATTCCGCAACTGGAGTATTTCAAGCACTGCCCAAAGAGAATTTGGGGCACTGTTCTTCGCAACCAAATGCGATGTTGTGCACTCTTCGCAGTGGGAGTCATATGCAAAAAGCATTAAACGTGATGTGCTTTGCCCATAATAATCATGAAAGGTAGGAGGAGTAGAACAAGAAATAAACGGACTGGGTGCAATTATTGACTTTTTAGTTGGCTGATTTAATTTTTCAGAAATCGGATTAACGACATGTTCTCTGAAAAGTCTTTATTGCTTTAGCTGAGCCTTTCAAACTTCACTTTATTTGGGCAGTGCCTTTTTTCTTTTTTTGTTCGGGCTTAAATTTAAGTCTAAGATGTCAGTCCATGAAAACAAAATATATTTGTAAACGTTTCGAAGATGATTAAATACTCTCGTTGTATTTGCGTCTTGCATTCAAATAGTTTTCTAGAAAGTGGATTTGGATTTTTAATAAAATACATTTTTGCCGAAGTATTTTGTATTTGTATTTCGATACATTTTTTCTAGGTATTTTGCCCGTCCCTGGTCCTGTATATGGCCATGAGTATCCCGGTAATAAAGACTATGTTATCTCGAGTAAGTCTGCTGCCGCTTTACTTCTCGTAAAAAATGTGTGACCATCGGTATAGGTCCACGGCCATGTACGGCCATGAGCTGTGTATGTAACGTATACAGACAGTTTATGCATGGCTATGGATATTTGGGTAAGAAGTACCCATGGTCATGCAAGGATCATGGCAATATGCGGCGTTCTTGCTTAAGTAAGTGTGGGTGTGAAGCTGTTTGCCCGCCTCTGTTGCAGTTCAAGGGCCTTGCCACGTACCTCCCGATGGGCGTGCAACTGCTCACTCTGTACCAGGACGCGCCCGGCCGAGTGCTCATGCGGCTGGAGCACATGCAGCCGGCCGTTCCTCCGGACGAGCTCACCGCGGTCAACGCCACCATACCCATACATGTGCGTTCCGACGAGACGTGGAACCTATACTCGCTGACAATTTAAGAAACACAGGGCGTAACGAGTGCTGAGCGTATTACTGTCAGCCCACAGGGGTAAGAACACCGAAAAACGAGTAGCGAAGCCAGATGCGCGAACGTTCGAAGCGACACCTGCGTTGTTGCATTATGTCTAGGCGGAACGCAAGTTCGTCTGCTCCTCGTACAGGGGTTGCGATGATGTCAAAACGCCAAGCCCTTATTGGCTGATTGCAAAAAAAAAAAAAAAAAAAAAAAGTGTGGGTAGACCAGGGTGTAAGATAGACAGGTGGGGAAACGAGAGCCAACTGAGCGACCGGATTGTGTCCCCTTCGGTTTTCTCTTTTTCTGTGGCGCCATCTATGTGGAGCACCGCGAACTCTCACTCCGGGTGGGCGACCGGTGGCGACCGGCTAAACTGACGGAGATAATTTCTCGTGGATTTTAAATGGAGAACTGTCGTGCTCTCGGTTTATTTTGCGCACTCGCCCATAAAGTTCCATACAAATCCGATTCCGATTTTTTTCCTCTCGCCGCAGCGCCATCTGTCGCAACTCGGGGGTTCCCGCAAGCAGACGAGTACACAATCCGGTCACGGCGCTGCGGTAGGCTTCTATGGGCCGTTTCCCCACCTGTCTATCTTACACCCTGGGGTATACTTCAAGGCCTCTAGCATCGAGGTCTACCCACTATCCTTCCAATCAAAGCCAATCAGAGCTCGGCGTCGTTGTGACGTCATCGCAACTCCTACGCAAGAAGCAGACGACTTGCTCTCCGCATAGTTCACACATTGGCGTTTCAGCGTGTTCGCGTACGCTGCGTTCGCTTGTGGTCGCTTCCAAGGAGAAAACACACTTGCGTACCGGCGCCATCAGTCGGGTGGCCCTGGAACACTTCCAGTCAGTGTATGGTCCGACTGAAGGTTTTAAAGTACTTGAAGGATCAAATCTATGCGCACTACCAATGAGAAACGCATTAGATTTGGAAGGGGAAAGGGGAAATCAGGTTTTTGTTGTTGTTTTTAGGCTAGGTGGCGCAAGCTACCGCCCGTTATAAAGATATACAGACCTTAAATTCATTATCTATCCAGCCCGCAGACACAAAATGGCGCGTAAGCAAGGAGGTTATAAGTACTAGGAGGGGGCACGTTGCAATATTGGTGAAGCCTAGTCATAAAAAGTTTAAACGATGTTGCGGCCAACGTGACCGTAGATCTCTCTGGTAATTGGTGCGCGTGACATGTCACGTGTGAGATGGATGGTTGATTGTAGGAGGATTCCTTGCAGGCTTGCCCGCGCTCCGTCCGGTAGGTTTTATCAGACCGAAGGCTAGACGAAGGCTAGGTACGGTCACGTGATGTGGTCACGTTGGCCTGATAAGTGAGGAGGGTAAGGAGGAAAATGAGAAAGAGGCGAGGCGTCAAGGGAGCATGGCTTGTAGAGGCTACGCGGCTGACGTCATGCCTTCTCCTGCCCTTCTATCCTCCTTGCGCGTAAACAATTATAAATATATATATATACGCTGCTCGGAAGACGTGGAAAGAACGTTGGGTTTAGCGCAGCTGCCCCTACTGCCTTTCTATAGCGGTATTGCTTCAAAACATGCACCGGTTCCCACTGCTTCACTGTGTGTGAGAAACATTTGAAGTTAGAAACGCTTCGAAAGCAGACAAAGCAGACGGAAGCTTCTGTAACTCGCAGGCGTTGTTGTCGACCTACACCATGAAGAACTTCCGCGAAGTGTCCCTGACCGCCAGCCGCTGGAAGAACTCCAAGTTCGAGCCTCTTCGCTGGACTCCCAGCAGCCGGTCCCCTCTCCCCGGGAGCGAGCCCCGGCTGGACAGGTCGGACGCCAAGGGCGCCCTCGCCGCGGTCCAACTCTTCACGGGAGAGATCAGGACCTTCGTGGCGGACTTGTAGCGAGATCGGAAAAGGACCTCGGGAGACCGACTCCGGAATGCCTTCGGGGCAACTCTTAGACCTGCAGCTTTCCCGGTCTACCTAGATTAATTGTATCGGCTCTGCTCGCAGAATCAGAATATCGCGTTCTTTTTGCTTGCGCCGCCAACTTCGTATTGGCGGAGAAGCGGTCACGTGCGCCGAGGTGGATCCAAACATAATGAGGGAGAGCGACCCTGCAGGCACCGAGTTTTGGGCGAAGCACGTTTTTCGATTTGCGCTTGCGAAATATACATCCTACGCTAAAATCGAATGAAGTGGAAAGTTTCTTGACCAGTTGACATTATGTGCAGTCACTGGTTACAATATAATCGTGTTTCTTTTCTTTTTCTTTATATTGAGAGCGATGTTTTAAGACATGTTTCCGAAGTCTGGGAAGCAGACAACATGGAGGACGATGGTGTTGCTCGCGTCTGCGACGCTCGCGGAGTGATACGCGACCAGCACATCCGGGCACCTTGGACCAGACGAAAATGCGCACCTACGGCTTGCAAATAGATGACGTTTTCGTCGGCTCCTATGTCCTACTGTGGGCGTAGAAAAAAACAGAAAACAAATGACGGGACGACGGCGCATGCGCGACTTCTCTACTCCGAGCGCGCCGCAGCACGCCACATCCCAGCCACGCTATCTGTGCCTCCAGTTCATCTGCAGAAGGGACGGTCACTTCCCGCCGTGCGGCTTGAGTTCAACATGGCCACCCTGGGAGCACCATTGCGATACCAAATACGCCAAATACCATGCAAGCCAATACTGGCAACTCCCGCGGAACGCGGGCGAAAAGTGATCGCAGCGCCCCTGGCGAGCTCGGAGTCTCCGCTGGCAGACGAATTCTCCACAACGCATTGGTTTTGCCTATCTCCGTGCGAGGTGACCAATGAAACAAAATTGTCACGGGTATTCGCCGCTTTCAACGTTGAAAAATAGGCGCCACCTCATGAAGGACATTTTCTTCGCGTGGGAAAGATGTTACAGCTTGTAGTGTACTATTTTTGGGCTCTCCTGAAGGAAACACTCTGTCAGAACTTAAGTAAGCCAGGCAAAACACGAATGTACCTTCGCCCTAATTCTTGAAAAATGGCAATGTAAAAAAAAAAAAAAAAGAACATAGCTACGTTTTAACTTTACTGTTCTTATCGATCAATTCGTTCTGTTGTTGCTATTCCAATTTCTCATGAATGTATTGAAACCGTTTCGTCGAATAGGCGAGCTGGCTAATCCCGATCGTCTCCGGATGAAGAAGCAAAAAGGCAATTTCGAACCACGTACGTTACTGCGATGTCAGTATGCTCTGGAAGAAGCTGATTGTGCACATGCAAGTCTGACGCTATTACTGAAACTAATAAAAGCGGAGTTACAAGAAACAAAAGCACACTGTTGAACGGTCGTGCACCTCCTACCATTTTTCAGTCTTTTTTTCTTATGTTTGAGGCGACGCTACGCCGCCACCGTCTTTCTTCCTCCTGCGTTTATGTTTTTTGGTTGCTTTTTTGTTGTTTTTTCTTGTGTTTACTTGACGTTCGCGTATTTTGATTTGCCTTGTTTGGTTTAGTTTTTGCTTTCTTTCCTTCACTTGGTTGCTTACTACCACCGGTTCGTCTGCTATGCCATTCCCGGACATCTGGAGGGCCGTCTGCAACTTTGTTGTTAAGCGGGAAACACATGTACGACGAAACCGTCCGATCCGACGTCCGACCGCGCAATACGACGGTCGGAGGCGAGGGTTTTCAACGCCCTCCGATGCTACGAGCACCCTCTCCCCCCCCAAGGTCATTCCGGCAGTCCGCACGTCGGATCGGAAGGTTTCGTCGTACATGTGTTACGCGCCTTAAGCGCGAAACACATGTACGACGAAACCGTCCGATCCGACGTCCGATCAGGCAATACGACGGTCGGAGGCGAGGGCTTTCAACGTTCTCCGGTGCCACGAAAGCCCTCTCCCCTCAAGGTCATTCCGGCAGTCCGCACGTCGGATCGGACGGTTTCGTCGTACATGTGTTTCGCGCTTTCTTGTGTTTGTTTTGTTCCTCCATTGTCGTTTGTGATAACCTCCTATGTTCGCCTTCGACTGAGTTTCTGATTCGAAATCTTCATATGTACTTTTTGATACGTAATAAATGTATCAAAAAGTGTAAGCTCGTTGTACATTTCTATTCGGATTTTATTTGAGTGTACGCGGTCACGTCTGCTATGGGTCCGCGTTGGTTGATCAACCGGCCGCCTTCGGGGCATACATCAGCGCATACTTGGCGATAGCAGGCATGCTATATGCTGCTTACCACTGCAAAAGCAAGTTTTTGTGATATGGTGGAAAATACTTCTTCCGCTTCCCGAAGACCGAACAAACGTTCGCGGCGGGTTACCTCCCCGGGTGCCGCCGACCCTAGTGACGCCCCTGTTCTTGCTTGCTCTTTAATGCGATAGTGGAAAATGTAGGATGCAGAAAGTATGCGCTCAGCCAAAAGCACCTAGAAGACAAAGTCTGCGCCCAAGACGCACACGTCTGCCGCTCGGGGCGCCTTGGAGATCCACGAACGGTGACGTCATACGTAGGAATTGTCTTCTGGATGGTACTGGCTCAGCAGAAAGGCCGACGCAATGGTCTCCGGTGTGACGCCGGTGCGAGCCATGTATTAAACGGACAAGAGTTTGGAGATCCCAGAATGCCAATCAAGTTGTTCGTCTGTTTACAGAAATAGAACGCTATCATCTTTGTCATTCCATAAGAAAACCTTTTAGAAAAAGAAGTAGGGTGAAAGAAAATAAATTATAGCTTTGGAGCGATTGGCAGCCATTTTCCCTCTTTTCGTTCAGTCACCTGCGACAAAGGAGTGTGATTTTTTTATCTACTTGGAGTTAATCTTGGAAAATACTTCTGGAGATGATTTATCCCAACCATGGGCGAAACATAAGCTTACGTAAGTTCTGAATCGATAAATAATTTTAAAAAAATCTTGTGCAGAAAAAAATAGTCAAAATGTACTCAATGTTTGAACAGAACGTTACTGGCGTTGGTTTGTTGGGAGACTTCTTTGGCAGTCGGAAACGTTTTTTTTCTTTAACCAGGTATGTCCGAAACGTTTCCGGACGCTGGGGCCCTAAGCTGAACACACGGCAAGAAAGTCGGCGAGATTTCTGATCACCGCGATTGGCCAGCGTCAAGGTCAAGCGCTGCAGTGGCCAATCGCGGCGGTCAGAAACCTTGCCTACTTTCTCACCAAGTGTCCAGCTTAGAGCCCCAGGTTAATTTGTTTTAATAGAAGAGTCACAAGACTCTATTCGCCTAATGGAACTAAGGAGGCGATGTGGGGTATAGTTGGTTCATACTGACAAAAGAAAAAAACAGCGCGCAGAAAACGGACACAGTAGAAGTGAACACAAGACTAGCACTGCCTCTCAACTGAATTTTAATGAAAAACTAAATCAGCAATAGCGAACACATCTCAGGGCGGCCAATCAACACGTGTCTAGAAATGCAATCTTTTTGCTCTGTATATTCAGCGACGTCTGGCTGACGAATTTCGTACCTTCTCTTTTAATCGAATAGGCTTCTAAAATTTCCCTGGTCATTCAGTCTCCGCTCTTGCCAATAATCTCTACCTTTTTGAAGATGGGTCGACACCCACAGGAAGGGTCCCAAGTGTCCCTCCACCGCTCCCACTTCTGACTGAAACGACAAGTCGTGCACCCGCGATCTGTGGTTAACGCATCTGCCTCTCTAACCAATATATGCTTTTTTACACGTCAGCGGAATTTCATAATGAACTCTCACCTTGCAGTCAATATACTTATTTTCGCGCCTTACCGTGCAAGTGGGACCATTACCTTTCTTATTTGCAACTCTAGGGCAAGGATGCGCCAACTTGCAGGGGGCAAAAAAACACCAAGGGCCCATCGCACCGCAGCGCAACGTTTTTCAAATTGTGTGAAATCTTCTGTGTGGACGGAGGGACAAGCGGTCTTTTTCACGGCCTCTCCTTCTGGGAGCCAGATGCTCCCTTTAGTTTCCTTAACAAGGCCTCCGCAACGCTTAATCAAACTGATGGTAGGGAACCGGCCTCTGTCAGCCATTCTACTTGCCGATCAAACCTATAGGGCGTTTTCACATGACGTCAAACCGCCATTTTGTTGTAAGTTTGTTTTTCCAAAGAAATTTACTAATGTCAAGTATTACATCGCAACGTGTTGAGATGTCAGTGTGGTGAGACTTGTAAGCTTCTGTGCTCTACGCACTTGAGGGATCATGTAAATCCTTGGAATGCTCGTCTTAAGCACACGCCAAACAGCTCACAATAACAAAATGGGGAAAAAAATTACGTCAGTGAAAACAACCTCATGTTAACCTATTTAGGAGAAACCAGCTGAACAAACCAACCATACAAATGAGAGGAGAACGAGAGAGACGCATTCAACCACTGGACTACCAACTGCGTTTAATGATAGACTTCACCTTCATCGACAGGCTAAGATCAATCAAAACATAGCTTGCTTCACTGCTTCCTTTTTTTCCTCATTTTTAAACTAGGGCGTCCTGTTCGCCTGTCTACTTGTGGGCAGAACTTCCACCTCGCAAGAACATCCACTCTTCTCTGGTTAAGGTAATAACAGATGGTGAACTGACACACATATTTATTTATTTATTTATTTATTTATTCATTCCCTCAGGGCCTGAAGGCATTATAGAGGGGAGTGGACACACACATCTGATTGCACACAAAGACAAACAGTAATTAGGCGGGTAAGCATAAAAATCCAAAAACAGAACATTGTTAAAACAAAACACTGTCAACCAAAATCCAAAAAATATTCGCAAAGTGCAGCTTTGAATCCGGCATTCTCGGCTATGCTGGCAACAGGTGCGGGAAGGCGATTCCAGTCCAGTGATGTCATGGGTAAGAAAGACTGATGAAAGCTTGAGGTGCGACACTGAGGGATGCCAACTTTATTTTGATGGTCGAAACGTGATGAGACGTATGATGGTTGTGTTAACAGATGCTGACAAAGATTTGCATTGTGGTGGTAAATTTTATGAAATAAACATAGACGAGA